ATAAATAATAAATAAATAAATAAATAAATAAATAAATAAATAAATAAAGGTTAAAAAAAGTTTACAAAGAGACGGGTGAGACCCGACAGCTCTGCGTGAGATTCTAGATCGCCTAAGGAAGCAGAGCTGGAAGAGTCCCCGCAGATGGCAACGCAGGAGCTCAGCCAGGAGCAGCCGCTTGGGTGCAGGAAGCAGCCATTCCAGCTGCTGTGACCCCAGGGACCAGGACAACAACCAGATGTGATCCTGAGAAGCAAGCCATGGTCAGATCAAAGTCATCCAATATGCTCCACCCTTACCATTTCTAAACTGGACCCTGATGGTGATAGCTGCCTTTAATGATCACACACTGCCACAGCCCTGTCTTACTGTCTGCTTCCTTAAAAGTTGTAATTCTCATGTCAACACCTAGAGAGTCACTGTAACAGATCACATATGCTCACTGAACTGGATAATTACGTTTCCATATTATCCAGAAGCCTTCCTGACACATGATCTGTAACAGATGAGAACGTTAGAACCCAATCAGTATTTATAACAATGAACTGAGAACAATTCCTGCTTGGAATTATTCAGTATTTGAACAGAGAAATCCAATTTCTACTCAAATTGGTAAGCGATATTGATGCCTTACTCCAGATGTAACAGTGGTTTGTTGTTGCTGCTGTTTTTCTGTGTATAACAGTGCTTAAAACAATCACTGAGTTTAAACAAACAAACTCATTATTAGGGATGGTGAGAAGGCTCAGCAGGTACAGGCACCTGCCACCAAGCCTGACAACTTGAGCTCAAACCTTGGTCCCACATGATGTAAGGAGAAAACCAACTTCTGTAATTTATTCTCAGACTTCCGAATGTGGGCCATGCCACTGCACACACAGACCCCACACATGCAAATACACACACAAGCACATACACAAATTGTTGTAATTAAAAAAAAAACTGAACCGAAAGATCTAATTCCTGCTCAACAATTTGTTTTTCTTAACTCCTTTGGACTGAGCCTTATAATTACTATGCAAGAGCATATGTCAGTCAATCTTCTTCATCACTTGGTCAGGGTTCACTCATTCTTTTATTTAAACACCTGTGAAAGAACCGTTGGACCTTAAGTATTGTTCTAGGCACTGAGGTACACTTATGGAACTTATATACCAGTTAGGAGAGACACAGAGCAAATACATGTCAGAAGGT